AAGGATTTTCATCAATTGCTCAGAGATAAAATATAAGAGCAATTTGTGAAATAACTTAATCAACTTCATTTTGACTTAATGGAACACAATAATACGTGTATAATTTCTAACATCTGAAAATACCAGCAGCACTGAACTAGATGCCCTGATTAAATTAAGGCTAAACTTATTAATTTGTTTCTGGGAGGGTGGCTAGAAGTTCCCTTTTAGGGCACGTTGTTCGCGAGCCTCATGTTATCAGATTGTGTCAGAAGGTCGCGCATGACAAGTTGCAGCATCTCTCAGCCAATCTCCTCTGACAACCATGTTAGAAGGGAGAACCCAAGTACTCCATGGTTCTTATTCCACCTTTCTAACTTCCATCTCCTGCCCTGTAGGCCGGACACAGCCATGCAAAACAGTTCAGTGGTCCATGCTTAGAAAACCGGTCACTCCTTTTCAGCTTCGTCAGTCTCGTTACAATCACATTACTTGAAATGTGCTTACGCCTCTGTGAGTTTTCCGTCTCTTAACAATAACACTTTCCGTTCACTGAAATCTTTAATTCTGCTGCCCTCTGCCAAAATGTGTCTCCCTGCATTCCTGAGACGAATCTTGTATCGCCGGTCATTACCCTCAGCCACTGTCCACTCCAGGAACAAGTCCTTTACGATCCAGAAATAGAAGTACGTGATCTGCTCACTATTGCTTACATTATAACTGATCTGTGAATACGCCAAAGAAAATATGTTCATCTAAACATAACCTCATAATGAAGAAACAACACAGAAATACAGTACCCAAAAGAGTAGTACTTGTCTGTAACCCAACACCAGGAAGTAAAGAATGTCCATTACTTTGTAAGTGGTCATTATGTGACTGCCAGTGGTTCGAGAAGACATTTAAATAAACATCTATTACTCAAACAAGAGATTTTTAATTGCTCTTTCATGAGTATAAAACACTTCTTCATAATCATGATCAGAATGATGAAAAACCAGAGTCGCACAGCCCAAGAAGGGCATTCTCGGCTCCTTATTCTGGGCCGGACAGAACTGCGACGGGACTCAGGGCCAAAGCGACAGCGGCGGGCGTCTTCCCTCGCCACAGCCGCAGGCCTCGTTAATCGGCGGGTGGGGCGGTGCTGGACCAGAGCAAGGAAACTTGGTATCCAAGGCATACCACACGCGATATTTATAAACATACGAATTCAACCAGTTATGGCCAGGCCAGTCTCACCCTGTGTATATCCGCCACTCTGGAGCTGAGGTGAGATTGCTCGAGGTCAGGAGATTCGAACCAGCTGAGAAGACTGAGACATCTCTACGAATAAATAGAATTAATGCCAACTAATATATATATATACTATAATATTATACATATACAATATACATAATATATAATTAATACTATATATTAGTAATACGTATACTAAATATATTGAAGAATTAGCGGCATGGTGGCTCATGCTGTAGTCCCAGCTACTCAGGAAAAAGGGGGGGGTTTTGAGGCAGGAGGATCGCCTGGAGCCCAGGATTTGAGTTGCCTGTGAGTGCACGCCACGGCAACTGCACTCTACCTGGGCACACGAACTCTGTCTCAAAAAATTTTTTCACATTAATAATCAATAAATACATTAAAGTAATGTAGCTTTCTTAAGAAGTTATACCAACCTTTTGATCTTTTCGAAGCCTTGAGAGACAAATCCAGTCTCGCCAAAAGCTTCCTTGGAAGTATTCTTCTGAAGCCCACAGGTAGCCTGAAACACACTCACAGTTAGCATCATACAAACATTAAAAAACAATCATGTCTGTATTTCTGTGATCAAGATGCAGAGATACACTACTATCACAAAGATCTCAGCACATCTTTTTCCAGTTTTACTGAAAACCGTGAGACTAATTTGTTTTAACGCAAGTGTCAAAATCAGTAGAAAGCAATGGAAGGCAAATTACCACTGGACATGAAGACCAGGATGGTGTTCAAAGTCCCTCCTATTGGTTGGTGTGTCTCGGGTGAGGACAGGTTAATGTTAGCCACCTGTCACTCTCTTTCTGAATCCACTGATGACTCCTCTAAACCAGATGCCTACGTGGAAGAGCACAGGACCCACACTTCTGTTTGAGATCCCCGAAATCCCAGCATCTTGCTTAACATTGTATACCTAGGACGCTAGAAGAGCTTTGGGCCTTTGATGAACCACTGCTTTTTCCCCCTTTTTCTTTTTATTTTTTTTTTGCTCTGTGCCAGTTCTTGCCCTGTTCCAGGCTAGAGCAACGTGCATACATATCACTGCAGCCTCCAAACTTTTAAATATGTAGCTTAAATGAACGCCAGCTTACCCTTGCCTCGTGGTTCCTCCTGTTTGGAATCAAGAAACAGCTGTGAAAGTGCATATTTGCTTGTACTTTGCCAATGAGAGCAAAACAGCGTACTCTTCACCTTCTAGAAACATCACAAAGTTTTAATGTCACTTAAACTAAATAAAAGTTTTTAGTCTGATGCGGCTTGGTAAGCCTGTAATCCTAGCACCCTGGAGCCGGCAGCGATTGCTCAATCAAGGAGTTCAAACCCAGCCTGAGTAAAGCAGACCATCTCTACTATAAATGAGAAATTAATTGGCCACAAATATATATTATATATAATCATATATATATATATATATTAACTATATAAATAATCGAGCATGGTGCATATCCTTGTCACTACTTGGAGCGAGCAGAAAGATTGTTGAGGTCCAGGAGTTTGAGTTGCTGTGAGCTTAGGCTGATGCCACGCACTCAGCCGGCAAAGCAAGTGCCTGTCTCAAAAAAAAAAAAAGGAGTTTTGTTTCCCTTGATAGTCTTTCTTTCTTTTTTGAGATAGGGTCTTGCTCTTTTGCTGGGGGCTAGAGTGCAGTGGCATCATCATAGCTCACTGCAACCTCCTGGCCTCAAGTGATCCTCCTGTCTCAGCCTCCTGCATAGCTAGGACTACAGGTGCACCAACACATCTGACTAATTTTTATTTTTTGTAGACACAGGGTCTCACCCAGGCTGATTTTAAACTCTTGGCCTCTAGTGATCCTCTCACTTTGGCCTCCCAAAGTGCTAAGATTATAGGCATGAGCCACTGCACCTGGCTTAAACATTCAATTTCTATTCCATTTTAGAATAAAGCAAATATATTTCCCCAAAATAGCAACAAATCCCCATACCCAATTTCAGAGTAATAAAGAAACATAAGGCAAAAATGAAGCCTCCAAAACCCTGACATTGATGCTCCAAATAAGCACAGAGAGGAAAAGGCCTGGACTTTAAAAACAGGCTAGTGATATTTGCTAGATCCTCTTTAAAGTCTCTTCCCCTCTTTTTTTGTTTTTAAAGGTATTTAACAATTCCAAGGGTCTGCTTTATTTGCTCTGACCTAGGTTTCCACTGAAAGCTTCCCAGTGGCTCTAATCGGCTAGTTCTTTTTCATCCATTTCCAGTTTCTTCTTGGTCCAAATATGGAGATTTTCTAGTGGATGCATGTAAGTGAGCTATGGGAAAGGAGTAAAATCAGAGCCAGACAAATAATTTGGACATAAAAAGACACATGGAAAAACCTACTCTTTCTCCATCTATTTAAGCCAGAGATCTTTTCAGTCCTCCTTGCCATGAGTAAGTGATTATGAGAGAACTTGAATAATTTCCAAGCAAGTACTATATTCTAAAGTAATTAACACTGGGGACTCTGGCATTGGACAGACCTAGGTGCAGATTTGGGCTCTGACATCACATGGGTGACATCGGGAAAACTGTGGAACCCCTCTTACCTTTAGTTTTCTTAACAATATTTATCCCTTACAGGGTGGTAGTGTAGAGTAAATGAGAACATGCAAGAAAAACATTTAGTGCATGCCTGGCAAGGAGTAAGCGCTTGATACCTGTTGGCTATTAGCATTAAAAAAATTCCCCAAATCGATATTAACCTATTTTTTAAACTTATCAGAATAGCTTCTTTTATCTTTTCTTCTCTCTTCAAGGTTTCTAGTATGGTTAGAATAGAATACAGTTTTTATAGAAATAATAGGTAAAAGATTAAAAAATAATTTCAAGTGAAAAATGAGTAGCCAAATGACTCCACTCCCTGTCTTGCCAAGCTGAAATAAACACCACTTTTAATGCAAATACATCTGGTAGCACATTTCTGGGGTAGCCCAATAGTCGATGGCAGCTCGAGAATTTCTGTATGGAAGGAAGGTGGTCAGGCAACCTGGTAGCAAAGAGGGTGTGGGAAATGACCCTACTGCTGCCACTGCGGAGTGGGCACGTGTCTCACGTACCTGAGATGGGTCTGGACAGGTACTGGCTGCGGTTATGGGGAGGCTGGCCACTCCACCCCAGGGATTCCCATCTCCCTGCCGGCAATGATATGTTTTTTGTTTTTTTTGAGACAGGGTCTCACTCTGTGGGTGGGCTAGAGTGCCGTAGTGTCACTATAGCTCACTGCAGCCTCCAACTCCTGGGATTAGGTGATCTTTCTGCCTCAGCCTCCCTAGTAGCTGGGACTGCAGGTGCACGCCACCATGCCTGGCTAATTTTCTAGTTTTTGTAGAGATGTGGTCTCGCTATGTTGCTTGGGCTGGTCTTGAACTCCTGGCCTCAAATCATCCTTTTGCCTTGGCCTCCAAAATGCTAGGATTATAGCTGTGAGTCACTGCACCCAGCCTTTATTTTTAAAAATAATATTTAAAAAATAATTTTTAAAAAACTGAATATACCAGTTTAGCCTTACTTGACAGATATTAGGGAAAAGGAAGTTCGGAAAGAATTTTATTTTTTTGACCTTGGTCAGGCAAGTATTATAAGGGAAACAATGGTACATAAACACCTAAAGGCTATAATTTCAAAAATTACTCTGACAGAGTATCTCCTGATTTATGAGGAGATAGTGATATTTATAGGTTAGGGTGAGAGGTCCTTGGCAAGGGGACCCTAGGGGAACAGAGTCCAGAGCAGGAGGACAGAGCAAAGGCTCTCAATCTGCTGCATACTCACCCTGTCTGTGACAGTCGCTATAATCAGGGCATTTGGCACCAGAAGAGCAGTTTTGGTTTTCTTTATTAGGGTTACCGAGAAAACAGGAATGGAGATCTGAAACAGAAACACCAAGTTAACACTGGTTCACACTTCAAAGAACAACACTTCACATCTTCATGTTAAAGAAAAAAAAATAAACAGAAATCAAAACCAGCAGCAAGCTCTCACCTCACTGAAATAAAGGAATGTGGAGTCTCAGAGAGTAAGAGGTGTGTCCCTGAGCTCAAGCTGGTCTTTGCCAAGCCAGAGGATAAATCTGCACCATCGATTCTACTGAAGGTCTCGGTGGGCAACCTTTATCTTCAGATGTGGGAACAGAATGCAAAATGACGTTCATTTTAAAGAGAAGCAAAGGTTTTAAAGAAGCATTGAGCCCGTGGTCATCTACTTTGCTCACCTCACATGCCTGCTCTCTTCTGTATTCAGGTGCACACGGGTGGGAATCGTTAGAAAGCACTGGTGTACTGGAACCATCAATGGACAGGAAGTCTGGGGCCTGAATTCTCAGCTCAGTTCTGTGACTACAGGCTGAGCATCCTTAATCCGAAAACCCAAAATCCAAAAGACTCCAAAATCCAAAACTTTTTGTGTGTCAACATGACACTCAAAGGAAATGTTCATGAGAGCATTTAGGATTTTGGATTTTTAGATTAGGATGCTCAGTTGGTTATGTGATATTTTGAAAATATTCCAAAACCGGGAACACTTCTGGTCCCAAGTATTTCAGATAAGGGTATTCAACCTGTATCTACGTGACCTACCCACCATTCTAAACTATTCTAGCCTCAGTTTCCTGATTTACAAGTTGGAGACAGTCTTGTCTACTTCTAAGGATTTTCTGTGGATTAAAAGAGATAATACATGAAAAATGCCCAGTGCTGAATAAAAATTTCATGCATTTTCTTGTGTTATGAAATCAGGATGGGTGAAATAAAAGAACTCTAAGTTCTCTACTGGTTCAATAGGAATAACAACGATAATGACAGTATAGAAGTTACCATTATTAATACCTATTTATCAGATGAGAATATAATTTAATTATGATGATCCTGTGGAGCTGATATAAGAGTTAACGAAGTTTGTTTAGAGAGGTACATAACTTGCTTAAAGTCATACCTATAAGAAGCTACAAAGATGGAATTTGAACCAATCTGATCCAAACATGGGTGTTTTTCAATACAATTTGCTATAAGAATGTATCGAGGTGGGCAGATCGTTTGAGCTCTGGAGTTTGAGACCAGCCTGAGCAAGAGCGAGACCCTATCTCTACTAAAAAAATAGAAATTAGCTGGACAACTAAAAATATACAGAAAAAATTAGCCAGGCATGGTGGCGCGTGCCTGTAGTCCCAGCTACTCCGGAGGCTGAGGCAGGAGGATCACTTGAGACCAGGAGTTTCAGGTTGCTGTGAGCTGGGCTGACGCCATGGCACTCTAGTTAGGGCAATAGAGTGAGACTTTTTCTCAAAAAAAATAAAATAAAAAAATATATATATCAGATGGCATAAACAATAGTAGAATTTCCTGATAGTTCTATGTTATATCCCTCTAATCAGGTTTGGTCTCAAAGGAAAACAGATCACATCACTTTATCTCTGAAAATAGAGTCACACACTGCCATGGCAAAAAGAAAACGATCTAACTCCCTCCACAGGTACACACGTTCACTTGAACATCTGCTTCGTAAAAATGCTTCACATCTTCGGAAAGACCCCACAAGGTGAGTGAGGAGGAGGGTCTTATGTAAGCACTGCCAGCTTGAAGGAAGAAGGATGAGCTTTTCATTTTGAATGTTTACATTTACATCTGGGTTTATGAGATGATGTTATTCACTGTCCCGCCATGTTCCAAACAGGAAGGCTATGGATGAAGGAGGGGCTAATAGACATTTTCTAAAAAGCTAATATTTTGCCAGAGAACTCTACTCACCAAGAATTTAAGAATGGGAGGTAATTCAGAAGTTATAAGCTGGGATAATTTTGGAAAAAATAATTTAAGATTTACTTAGATATGATATCAAAATGAGTCTAATTTTGTTTTTGAGCAGCAACACAAACAGTGACAAAGGGCTATAAATTTAGATTTTTCATAATCTAAGGCAAGGAACACCCTTAAGAAGGAGTTTTCAATCAATTGCTTCATGAGTATAAAATTATAATGAGGCAAATTTGTGAAATAAAGCTTAAATCACTTTTCATTTTGAGCTTAGATGGAACACAATACATACGTGTTAATTTTACTAACATCTGAAAATACCAGCAGCAGCTGACTAGATGGTCCTGATTAAATTAAGGCTAAACTTTATTAATGTTTTTCCTGGGTAGGGTGCTTAGAAGGTTCCCTTCTTAGGGCACGTTGTTCGGGAGCCTTCAGTGTATCAGATTGTGTCAGGCGAAGGTCTGCGGCAGTGAGCAAGTTCTGCAGCATCTCTCAAGCCCAAATCTCCTCTGACAACCATGCTTAGAAGGGAAGACACACACAAGTACTCTCATGGTTCTTATTCCCACCCTTGCTAACTTCCAATCTCCTGCCCCTGTAGGCCAGACACAGCCCATGCCAAAGCAGTTTCAGTGTGTCCATGTCTTTAGAAAACCCGGGTCACTCCTTTTTAGCTTCTGTCAGTTCTCGTTACAATCATATTGGCTTGAAACTGTGCTTACTGCCTTTGTGAGTTTCCCCATCTCTTAACAAAGACTACTTCTCCGTTCACTGAAATCTTTAATTCCTGCTGCCTTGCTCAGAGATGTGGGCTCTCTCTGCATTCCTGAGAACGATCTTTATCGCCCGGTCAGTACTCCTCAGCCCCTGTCCCACTCCAGGAACAAGTCCTTACGATCCAGAAATCTAGAAGTACGGTGGAATACTGCTCACTATTGCTTACATTATACTGATTCTGATGATACTGCCAAAGAAAATATGTTCATCTAAACATAACTCTCTATAATGAAGAAACAACACAGAAATAACACGTTTTACCTAAAGAGTAGTATGCTAGTCTGTAGACCCAACACCAGGAAAGTAAAGAATTTCCATTACGTTTGGTTAAGTGGTCATTATGTGTGACTGCCAGTGGCTTCGGAGAGAACATTTAAATAAAGCACATCTATTGCTCCAAACAAAGAGTTTTTAATTGGCTCCTTCATGAGTATAAAGACAGCTTCTTCATAATCATGAGTCAGAATGACTGAAAACTCAGAGGTCGCACAGCCCCAAGAAGGCATTCTCTGGCTCCTTATTCTGGAGGCCGGACAGAACTGCGACGGGACCTCAGGGGCCAAAGGCGACCACGCGGGCGGGCGCTCTTTCCCCCTCGCCACAGCCCGCAGGCCTCGGTGTAGCGGGCGGGTGGGGCGGGTGCTGGGACCGGAGCAGAGGGAAACTTGGTATCAAGGCATAACCACGACGCGAGTATTTATAAACATAGCTAAATTTCAACCAGTTAGGCCAGGCGCAGTGGCTCACGCCTGTGTAATCCCAGCACTCTGGGAGGCTGAGGTGGGAGGATTGCTCGAGGTCAGGAGTTCGAAACCAGCCTGAGCGAGAGCGAGACCCATCTCTACTATAAATAGAAATTAATTGGCCAACTAATATATATATATAAAGAATTAGCCAGGCATGGTGGCACATGCCTGTAGTCCCAGCTACTCTGGAGGCTGAGGCAGGAGGATCGCTCGAGCCCAGGAGTTTGAGGTTGCTGTGAGCTAGGCTGACGCCACGACACTCACTCTAGCCTGGGCAACAAAGCGAGACTCTGTCTCAAAAAAAATTTTTTTTTCAACCAATTAATAATCACAATATATAATAAAGTACAAGGTTAGCTTTCTTTTAAAAAAGTTATACCAACCTTTGTGTCTTTTCCGAAGACCTTGGAATGAAAACAAATCCAGTTTTCTGACACAAAGAGCTTTCCTTGGTACAGTATTTCTTTCTGAAGAGCACAGGTGAAGCCTGGGAGAATACATACAGGTGTAGCATCATACAGAATTTTCCATTTAAAACACAAATCATGTCTGTATTTTGGTGACTCAAGATGGGCAGAGATAATATATTCAAAAGATCTAGCACATCTTTTTTAGTCAGTTTTACTGGAAGAAAGCTGTGGAGACTAATTTGTTTTTTAACCCAAAGTGTCACAAATTTCAGTATAAAGCAGAATGGAAAGGCAGATCTACCACTGGACATGAAAGACCAGGAATGGTGTTTCAAAAGTCTCCTCTATTTGGGTTGGTGTGTCATCCGTGGGCTAATGTTAGCACACCTGTCCCTCTCTTTCTGGGAATTCTCACTGATGACTCCTCTTAAACCAGATGGTCTCGCTGGCGGAAGAGCACAGGACCCACACCTTCTGTTTGGAGATCCCGCAGAAATCCAGCATCTTGCCTTAACATTTGTATACCAGGAGGCTAGAATGGACCTTTGGGCCCTTTGATGAACCACTGCTTTTTCCCCCCTTTCTTTCTTTCTTTTTTTTTTTTTTTTTGCTCTGTTGGCCAGTGTCTTGCTCTGTTGCCCAGGCTAGAGCACACTGGCATGATCATAGTTCACTGCAGCCTCCAAACTTTTCAAATATGTAGCTTAAAACATCAAACAGGCCAGAACTTACTTTGCCTCAGTGGTTCCTCTGTTGGGACATCAAGAAACAGCTTGTGAAAGTGCATATTTGCTTTGTACTGCAATGAGAGCAAAACACAGGCGTTACTCCTTCACCTTCTTAGGAAACATCACAAAGTTTAATGTCACTTTAAACTAAATAAGAAGTTTTCCTAGTCGGGTGCGGTGGCTCACGCCTGTAATCCTAGCACCCTGGGAGGCCGAGGCAGGCGGATTGCTCAAGGTCAGGAGTTCGAAACCAGCCTGAGTAAGAGCGAGACCCCATCTCTAACTATAAATAGAAAGAAATTAATTGGCCAACTTAAAAAAAATATATATATATATAATATATATATTATTATATAATTAAATATCGAGCATGGTGGCATATGCCTGTGTCCTAGCTACTTGGGAGGCTGAGGCAGAAGGATTGCTTGAGTCCAGGAGTTTGAAGTTGCTGTGAGCTAGGCTGATGCCACGGCACTCTAGCCGGGCAACAGAGTGAGACTGTCTCAAAAAAAAAAAAAAAAAAAGAAGTTTTGTTTCCTTGATAGTATCTTTTTTTTTTGAGACAGGGTCTTGGCTATTGCCCGGGGCTAGATATAGTGGCATCATGCTAGCTCACAGCAACCTCCAACTCCTGGGCTCAAGCGAATCCCTCTGTCTCAGCCTCCCCAAGTAGCTGGGACTATAGTCACATACCCCCCACACCCAGCTAATTTTTCTATTTTTTGTAGAAACTGGTCGTACTCTGTTTAAGGGCTGGTCTTGAACTCCTGGCCTCAAGCGATCCTTTTGCCTCTGCCTCCCAGAGTGCTAGGTAGGATTAAAGGCATGAGCTACCACACCTGGCCCTTAATATTAATAATTAAATTTAAATTTTTAAAACTAAAACATTACCTGCTTCAAAGAGATGCCACAGGCTTAAACGGGACAGTGCATCTCAAGGCCCTACCGCCTAGGGCCACCACATGGTCCCATCCCTGCCGGCGGTGGTGGCTCCAGGCCATTTCCTCCAGCCAGTGATGGCCTCCCACACACAGACTCAGTGTCCAGGGCAGGAGGACGCCCAGGACTCTGAGCTCTGGAGGCCAGCATACTGCAACCACTTATTTAAGGTATTTATTTCACACTATGGCGGACAACAACGCATAGCCACATTTATAGTATATATAGTTACAGTATTTATGGCTTTCCACAAACATCCTGCTCACAATAACCCTTGGGAAGCCTGGCCGTCCCCACTTCCCTAGGTTGGCCCACTGTGCCTCAGGGCTACTGAGTGACGCCAGCGTACCCACAGCTATTGAGAACGCAAGGTAAGCTGGGGCTTCCCTCCACAGGGTCACTCTGTCCCGTAGGGAGCGCTGAACACAAGTCTTGGAAGGAGACACAGAGAGAGAAGCAGACAAGTAGGACCTCGGATGGTTTTCGATCCAGGTCAGGAGTGCCTCGATGGTAAACTGCCCTATTACTGCTGCCAGAAGGGCTCCAGCCGGTGGGCCCGGGTCATCAAGACCACACATGGTCCCTGCAAGTCAGCTGCTGTATAGACAACACCTTATATGAAGTAAATTATCTTCATGCTGCTTTCTAGGACATGGCCATCCAGAAAGTCCTTGATTACAGGCGTGAGCCACAGCGCCCGGCCATGGAGATGATTTTTTAAAAATTTTTTTATTTCAGGAAAATATGAGAGTACGAACAAATTTGGTATATGTATACAATGGAATATTACTCAATTATAAGAAACGAGTGATCTAGCACCACTTATATTTTCCTGGATTGAGCTTGAGCCCATTATCCGAAGTGAGGTGACAAAAGATCAGAAGAATGGGCTCCACATGAGATTTTGTTTTTAATGGCTACAAGAAGCATTGGTTGTAAACTTGATTTAAAATATCCTAGGCCACAGACTCTTTGAAAATGTCAATGTGAAAAAAGACAAATAAAGGTAGTGGGACCGATTGATCTAAATTAAAAGCAACATAGCAAATAAATGCAGTATGTGACTCTTGATTGGATCCTGGAGAGGAAAAAACCTCTTTATAAAGGACATCATTACTGGGACAATGGTAGAAACACAAAACAGATTTAATAGTAATGTTTTGTATATTTCATATTTCGTTAAATTTCTTGAGTGTGCCAAGTTTTTTGATTTAGCTCTTAGGAGATAGCTATTCAAGTATTTAGGGGTGAAGTGTCAAAAAAATCCCCCAAACTCCTGGCCCTAGTAAATGTATCACACTCTGTGATGACATAGAACTGGGGTTTGTTTTCTATCTGGGTGCATTTTAGAGCAGAGCTCAAATTACTTCTGGAGGAGAACCATGACCCCGTCCACAGGTCTTCCTCCTCTGTGTGCCCCTGGCCTTCTGTTCAGGCAGGTGCCTTTTCAGACCCTTCAACTTTAATACAAGGATGTCACAGATCCCCTTGTTTGCTAATTACCAGACAAGCACATGATTCTGTGTTGGTCCCTGATCTGTGGGTACTTGTCAGAGTTGAGGGTCACAGCCTGGAACTCACTACCACTCAGTACGTGTTGGAGGGTCAGCTGTGGAATAAAACATCGATCAGAAATTGACTGCAGGAACTGCCACCTGTCCACTCTTCTCATTCTCTAGACTCTAAGTTACATCGTACTGCCCAGCGGGAAGCTCGGATTCCTTCTTTCCACTGGCCTCGATAGCTCCATCACCCTCTGAGACAATACAAATTCCATTCCCAAATTACCTGGCTAGAAGAAGACGACTTTTTCCTTTCACTCTTAGGGTCATTTTTGCTTTCTGTTTTACAATCGCTCTTATCACCTGCTAAAGAGGCACCATCAAAACTGGATTTTGACCTGGGGAAAGAAAAATCCAGGGAGTCTAAGATAAATTTTTATGCTACTAATTTATTATAATAAATCTGGATTACTATACCATCTCATAAGAAAACCTGACATTTGTTTTTCTCTTCTGGATATCGATAATCATTCATGATACTCTGAGGGCGTTTAACAGCCCGTGTTTAGGAGACTGGGGGGACTTGAGCAGGCTGTAATCACAACCTGCGGACATGGTAACTTATAAAGGGAGAAATAACAATTGAGTTGTGAAAATAATTATGTCATTTTAAAAGTATCTTAATCAGTATAAAGAGGAGTACTTGAGGCAAATTACTAAACAAAATTGCTGACATAAAGAATATTTTTGTTTCAGAATTCCATCAATATTTAACAAGGATTAATTAAGTGGGGCTTTGTGTCAAATGCCTCAGGGGCCCGCAAGACAGTCTTATCCTCAAGGAGCCTGTGTACACATGCATCAGACATTTTTTTAAAAAGGCAGTACATGATTTATTGCCAAAAAATTACACATTGTAGGAGTTAGGAGCAGGTATAAAGACAGTAAATCTAACAGGAGGGAAGAGAAGAGGAGAGCAATGCTGTGGTTTAATACGCTGGAACTAAAAGGACGAGAGGAATCAGTTACGATGAGAAGAGACACAACAGCCCAGAGCAGGAAATTAGCAAAAGTGAAATCAGGGGGAAAAAAATATAGAGCAAGGGGGGGGGCACAGGTATGAAGTTAAGTCTTCTTTTGTCGTGTTAAGGGCAGAGGACAGAGCTCTGGGGTTTCTTTCTAAGGTGATTCTGGCCCTGGCTGTCTATTTTAGTAGATGTGTAAATTTGCACATGTCGTCAAACCAATAGTTAAAAACAGTCATTTCACACTGGAATATGTGTATGATTTTGAGAGGTGTATGTATATATATATGAACAAGTTTTATAATTATGTAGTTGCTTTATCTTTAGGGGGAAATGGCTCATGGAATCCATGATTTCACAATATCATTCCTTAAAATGATACTCAGTTAAAAAGTATTTGGTTCAAAGTGGATTTAAGAAGAATCTAAAGTAATTCAGGTGGTATATGGGTGTCACAGAGGTACAAAAATGACTGAAGTTACAGAGATGTTAGGTTCCAGTTTTTTAGCTGTAAAAAGATGAACCATATGATGTCTTCAGCCCTTTCCAGCCACAACAGTTTGATTCCACAAGACTCAAATCACAGGTAAAATGTCTGTCAGCAATTCAGGGTAGATGGATTTCACTTCAGCTATAGGACATTGAACCTATTCACAGAAATAAATTCACCAGGAATCCTAGGGATTACTTTTTGGGGAAGCTATGAGTAAACATTTGTACTTAAAAATAAAATTATTTTTATAAATGTCAACTTACCTTTTATTTATACTATTCACCAATTTGAGTTTATCACCTCTACTGACTCAAATTAATAAATGTTAATGGAATTACCAAAAAAAAAAGATCTGATCTTTTGAGGAACTATGGCCTGCGTTGCAGCAAATTTGAGGAGCTGGGTGGCTCCACCCTTGATAATTTCAAAAAACATGCAATCCAGGGAGCTTGCGGCATGGCACAGACTTCTGTGGGTGGGGTGCTTATTTACACGGTATCCATTTCTTTGCATCTTCCCAACCATGTCACTTTCACTTTCTACAGGTGACCATAAGCAGGACCAGAAGCCCAGTGCAAAATGAACATGTGGGGCTCCTCACACAAAAATTCAGAATTGCAGCAGAGCCGAGCATTAACCAAGCATAGATTTACTCCCATGAAGGTTAACACACATGCCCTGCTGATGGGTATATTATTTTCCCTGGAGCCTGGGGAAGCTGGAGTAAAACCAACAGTGTTTTTAAGGTGCCTGCTCCAGCTGGTCAGCAGTGGTGAAAGATATGAGAATCAACATGCTTTGTGTGCTTTTGAGAAGAGAATCATTTGGTGAGTGATGCAGGATGCTCTGATAGGAAACAACTGTAGAAAAAAACAGTGAAAGTGAGATGCCACAAAACAGACATGCAGAAACAGTGGAAAGATAATTGGGAATTAGAGTCGGAAAAGGAAAGTGTGGGGGAAGAGTTAAGACTTACGCTTGGTCTTGAACAAAGCATAGGTTTGGAGAGAAGACATGGGCTGGGTAGCCGGAAGGAAGCAAAAAGCAAGAGTTAATTACTCATCCCTTAGCAGAGGCCAAAAGTAGAAGGTAGCAGTTCTAGCAGCTCTAACAATGGGGAAGGACAACAATAATTCCTCTACTTAGTATACATAAAAAAATCACGTTTACCCATCACTGACCATTCCTTTAACCACTCCCTTTTAAGGGCTAAAAGACAACTTTAAGTCTCTGTTTGGTAGTTAGTGCTCCTGAGAGTAACAGGGCTACAGCTACACACCTTAAAACCACCTCTCCCCTCCAGCCCCATGACCACACCTGCCCCTGCCCCCAGCCGGCACAGGAACCCGGTGGCTCCCAGGAAAGTGAGACACCAGCGTGCAAACCCAGGGACTGAGCAGACACTCCGGCCGGCCAGCCTTCCCGCGCGATTTACGGATCTATGCCCAGACGAGGCCACCCTGGCTTCCTCTGTTAGCAAAATGGGTGCTTTCAGAAAGGCGCAGGTGGTCTGGAGAGGCTGGGGCAGGAAAGAGGAAGAGCCACTGCTAGGAGGAGATGAGAGAGGGAGGCAGACACCAGTGGCCTGGGCACCCAGGAAAAGCGCCCGTTCTTTCTCAGGGGCATCGCTGGCCTATAGTAGGTGCTCCCTCCGAACAATGACCATGACTAGAAATACCTGCTCCTTCGCAACCCCTGGCCCCCAAAGGCAAAAAGAGAACAAAGAGAGTCAACTGAGCACTCACCGTAGGGAAATGATTCTCTTCTGGTCTGGGGACTCGGCCTCCATGGACGGGGTAGGGGACTGGGCTGTTGGCGACCTGCAGATTTTCTTTTTCTCCTCCACACCATTCTCAGCCTCTGAGCTGGAGAAGAGAGAAAAAAGCTTCACCTTAGACATCCAGAGAGAGGCGGGAGGAAAAGCGAGGTAGCCCCGCTTTCTGGAGAGTAGAACGAGCTTCAGTCCCATCTTCAGTCCCCCGCAGGCTACTCAGCTCCACAGCTCCGCTCCCTCCTCCATGCTCCCTCCCCGGTGCCTGAGCCAGCAGCTGCAGGTCACACCGTGGGCCCTGCACGGCCCAGCTCTGCTCTGTCCTGCCAGGCGGTGCTGGGGCAGCAGATCACCTGGAGGCGGGGAGGGCCCTGCTCACCTCCCACAGGTGTGCGCCTTCCTGCTGGGAACCCCCACCCCTTTGTTTGCACTTCTCTTATGTCACTTATCACCTTTTGTTGTAGTTACATGGGTCCCACTTAGGGTTACTGTTTTAACCAAGAACTTCCCTAAGCAATTACAGTCTATAATCTTTACAGCCGCCTCTGCTAGGTAGGAACTCTTATCCTCATTGGACAGATATTGTCATTGAATATCCCGCCCAAGTTCACAGAGCTCGAGTTACTTTAGTTGGAATTCAGACTCAGTTCTGTCCCTCTGTAGGGCCTTTGTGTCCCTCCCAGCCTCCTGCCCCTCCCTCTGTCCCCCTATTAACTCTCCCGAGTGACACCGCCCCAGTGGGTGGGAATCTTACCCATCTTTATCCGAACCACGGGGTCTAGGGGCAGTGCTCGCTTACAGTCGCGATCAAGGCTTTGGGAAACTAGGTCTGACCTAGTACAAGAAGAGTGGTGGGGAGTCGAAATATTTCCAGCGTGGGAAGGGGGAGAGGAAGGGAAGTTGAAAGGAGAATACAAAATGTTACATATCTTTACTCTCGGCCTGGGCAGCAAAGAACTCACAAAACTTACTTGTGAGGATGTGACAACACCATGGGGCCGTGCATAAAGACAGACATGCTAGGATGGCACTGCCAGGACAGAGGTGCTCATTTTAATCCTGATTTATCACCTATTTGGGGTTATCACCTATTTGCACACATATGACTGCTCAGGCAGGAAATGCTACTATTCAATCTAAACTTTGTGATTATTTGCTTACTAGTTTTTACAGCATATGAAAATTGCAGCCTATCACTAGAAGTCCCAACCTAGCATCAAAATCAAGACTGGTGGCTCACACCTGTAATCCTAGCATTCTGGGAGGCCGAGGTGGGGGGATCGCTTGAGCTCAGGAGTTCAAGACCAGCCTCAGCAAGAGTGAGACCCTTTTTGTACTAAAAATAGAAAAATTAGCCGGGCATGGTGGCACATGCCTGTGGTCCCAGCTACCCATGAGGCTGAGGCAGGAGTATCTCTTGAGCCCAGTAGTTTGAGGTTGTTGTGAGCTAGGCTGACGCCACGGCACCCTAGCACAGGTGACAGGGCCAGACTGTCTCAGAAAAAAAAAAAAGACCAAGTATATCTGACAAGGGTATCTAACTAATAATCCCTACAAATGGCTGATGCTCTCATTGTGTAGTATGCCTTTCTCTTTTTCCTAAGTAGATAAATACCTGAGGAGAGAGGCCCAACCTTCCATTTCTTCAGTTCTTCTCAAAGTACTTAAAATAGTTAAGTACATTAAAACGGCTTAGTCCATAAAAGAGTTACAAAAGGTACAGGGAAGGCCTTGAAATATTATAGGAAAACACTGCTTTGGTTTAAAATAAAACAATTGGACTTTATTAAACTTAGCCCCAAGTTTCATTTATGAACTCGAAGAATTTTTAGAATGGTTAATGGGCCTTAGAGTATATTTTGCCTTTTGTCTCTACCTGCCTCAGGACACCCGCATTACCTCTGTTCTTCAAAACCATCAGGCAGAAATCTACTTGAGAAGTCCTCTTTAAGTAGGGAGACCGTGTGGAACTTCAATGATCCACCTCAACATTCACTCACATATTTGACGAATTTTATGCAGGGTCCGATCAAGACTTGCAGGCAGGGCTGCAGCTTTGCACGGCTCGTCTTTATGCACAGAGCCGCTCCTGCTAAGAGCCACTCACAAAAAGTGCCACTGGCAGAGAGAGAAGGGGCCTCTTGCTCTGGGCAGAAACGGCCCAGGTGCAAAGGCAGCAAAGCTCAGGCTCGATTTCACCCCTTCCTTGACCTTGACCTTGACCCTTCATGGTCGGGCACTAAGTGCTTAACCACATGTGGCAGTCCTGTTTCCGGACCCCAGCTTAGCACTGAAAAGATTACAGTGCGTTACTTTGTATCATCCTGCCCAAAGGAAGTCTTTCAATGACAGAACATGCAGTTGTGCTCAAGTTAACGTAGCCTCCACACCCACTTTTCCCTAAACTTGGGCTTGGCCTTCAGCTCTGGTTCTCTCCTTGCAAGCCCTACCCAGGGGGCACGTCCTCCACAAAGCTTTCCCTCCACCTAGTCTCTATCCTGCTGCTGGTTTTATAATTCACTAGGTACCTATTCAATTAATGCCTTGTACTGTTAGCTTTTCTCCCAAATGTTTTAGTTATCCAGCTATCAGACTAAGTTCCTTAAAGGCAGGGAACATCTGTTTTTATCCACAGCATTCAGCTCAGCATTTTGCTTCCATGGTCATTTATGTGTTGATTGATGTGGATTAATTACATAGTGTCTCAAAGAGGAAGTGAAATTTGTCAATGGACCAATTCAATTTCAGTTTTTGTTTACTTAAAAGTGCTGTAGGCCTAAGCAAGTTAATTCCTAACACAGGTGAGAGTATTCCTGCAGGTGCCCCTGACCTTAGAGGTCTTGCCAGCAGCAGACTGAACTATACAGAATCCGACCCGCAGAGACAAGTCTGCGTTTGAGGGAACGGAGGGTGGGAGGGGAGACGGAACACTTTCTCAAGGGCCCTTGGGAACTTCAAAGTTCCTGTCCATAAGCTGAACAGGTTTCATTTAAGTCATGATACCAAGGAAATCAGTTTTTTAAAATAAGAAGACAAAGACCTTTCAGAGACATTGACTAAAAGAGTTAGCTGAAAAAATATATGAAAGAATCCAATCCTCCTCTTTCAACAAATATTGTTGAAATGCTGCCTGCCCTCAGGCGCGTCACAGTTGTGTGGTGAGAAAGATAAGCGAGCCTGCAGTTTCAGCATTCATAGAAGCAGCAGAGGCTGGAAACAAAGGATCCACCTCCACCTGGCCTCTGCAGGTGTGTGTCTTTCCAGCTCCCACCCAATAAGCATCAGTTATGAGCCCTAAAAATGTTTCACTAGTGGCAATTTCAGAGCAGTTAGACAGTCATGCTTGTTTGTACCAACTAAGCCCGGCTTCAGAACTATTAGGGTTAGCATTGTTACTACCCTGCTAGAAAAGCTGGTTTGATAAAACACTGCCACACAGTTACACAATCTATAAATAAAGAAACAGTTGCAGTCCCTATCAACAGTCAGTGTTGTCATTCTCCCATACCTCATTAGTCTGATGATTTAAATGGAAAATTTCACAATTTCAGAATTAGAATTCTTCATGGAGTCAACTATCATTCTTCCTGGAGACAGTCTCAGTTTTAGGCAAACTCAACACTCCTTTCTCTTGTCACGCCATTCCCAGGCCCGCTCCCCTCAGTGCAGGTAAATAAGCAGCTACAGGGCAAAGCTACGAATAAGCTGCCTCTCAGGTGAACGAAAACAAGTGCCTCGCTGTGGCTCAGTCCATGAGGGCGTGCTCCTTTCTAATTACAGTGACGATTCCCTGCGGTTGCCTCCACCTTCACGCTGAACCAGTCTAAGCTAAGGCATAAAATATGTCACGAGACTCTCTTATGGTAGGAGAGGTGGGGACAGTTTTATAAACATCCCTGATCATTTTTTTTTTTTTTTTTTGAGACAGAGTCTTGCTTTGTTGCCCAGGCTAGAGTGAGTGCGGTGGCATCAGCCTAGCTCACAGCAACCTCAGACTCCTGAGATCAAGTGATCCTCCTGCCTCAGCCTCCCAAGTAGCTGGGACTACAGGCATGTGCCACCATGCCCGGCTAATTTTTCTATATAATTAGGTGGCCAATGATTTCTTTCCATTTATAGTAGAGACGGGGTCTCACTCTTGCTCAGGCTGGTTTCGAACTCCTGACCTCGAGCAATCCACCCGCCTAGGCCTCCCAGAGTGCTAGGATTACACTACAGGAGTGGGCCACCACGCCCGGCCCTGATCATCATTTTTAAAACCACAGTCTTGACCAACCAAGGTTGAGAAGTGACTTGAAGGTAGAATGTGTCTCACCAGAGGACCTCCGTCGCATCAATCCCTGGAAATGGGCCTGTCGTGGCCAAGGCCAGGTCCGTGCAGGTAGAGCGTTGCTGAAACTCCACACTGAAACCTAGGCTGGCGCCTGGACTCGCCAGGACGGGGCCTCACAGGCCTGCTCTGGCCTGAGCCTGCTCAGTGGCTCCAGTGCTGGCCGGGAAGAGTGGGCTACAGAGACGGAGGAGGGCCCTGGGGACTGCTGGGCAGCAGCCATGGTACAAGTGACAAGAAGTATCACAGCGACCAAAAAAGGAAGCAGAATGGGGTGCAGAAGGCAGAGTGGGTGCTGCGGACCAGGACACCCGGGAGACCCTTTAGCTTCTCCAGTTTCATAAACTTAGACTATCTCAAATCAGATTTTTGTAAGTCAAGAAGTATAGCCTTCCATTTACAATTCTGACATACTATATGTTTGGATACTTTAAATTTGATTTCCTTATATATCTAATTTTAATATTTATCAATTTTAACATTTACTTTTGAATAGGTACTATAAACATGAGTACAAAATTTAAAAGTTACAAATGGAGAAACAAATTTCCCTTCTACCCCTGTCTCGTGGTGGCCCAGTTTCCCACCAGGGGCCCCTGTTCCCACCGACTTGCGTGTCCTTCCAGAGAGTCTGTGCACATAGGGGTGTGTAGACTTTTAAAGCACAAATGACAGAGAACATGCTATTCTACACTTTTCTCTTTCTTTCTTTCTTTCTTTTTTTTTTTTTTACTAATTGTATCTCGGTGCCCTTTCGCTATCAGCACACACAGATCTTCCTCATTCTTTCAGTGGCTCCATAGACTTCCAATGTAATGGATGAACTATGACTTAACCAGTTCCTTATTGACGGGCATGGAGGTGGATTCCAGTCTTTCGCAAATACAAACAACATTGCATCGAATGTCTTTATATGTTTATTATGTGTGTAAATATACCCATCGGATAATTTCCTTTAACTGGAACTCCTGTGTCAAAAAGTATATGATTTTAACAAATTTACAGTTATCGCCAAATTGCCCTCAGTAGAGATTGTGTGATCCACACCCACAATATATAGCAGTATTTATACATTCTCACTAATCAAGTGTTAACCTTTAAAAAAAATGTATTTCAAAGTACCTAGCAGAATATCTGGAACATGAAATAATGATAATAATTTTAATAATGACTAGTGTTAAACTTTCTGATCTTTGCAAATGTGAGAGGTTAAAAAAAATCTCAGCCTGGGCAATATAGTGAGACCCCCATCTCTACAAAAAATACAAAGTTAGCTGGGTGCAATGGTGTGTGCCTGTAGTCGCATCCACTCGGGAGGCTGAGGCGGGAGGATCGCTGGAGCCCAGGAGTTCAAGGCTGTGGTGAGTTATGGCATGAGTCACCACTGTACTCCAGCCTGTGTGACAGAGCGAGACTCCATCTCAAAAAAAAAAAAAAAAAAAAATCCCATTATAGGTTTTAAAATCTTTTTTTGAGACAGGGTCTCTCTCTGTCACCCAGGCTGGAATGTCATAGCGTGATCATAGCTCACTGTGGGCTCAAACTCCTGAGCTCAAGTATTCCTCCTGCCTCAGCCTCCTGAATAGCTAGGATTATAGGCACTTGCCATGGCGCCTGGCTAGTATTTTTGTAGAGATAGGGTCTCACTATGTTGCCCAGGCTGGTCTTGAATTCCCAGCTCAAGTGATCTTCCTCCCTCAGCCTCTCAAAGTGCTGAGATTACAGGCATGAGTCACTGAGCTTGGCCCCATTACTATTTTAATTTGTACTTCTCTTCTTATGAGTAAGGTTGAGTATATTTTCACATATTTAAGAGCTTTTTAAAAATTTCCTGTTTTTATAGCCAAAGGGCAAATGTTAAAAGAAAAAAAAATTTCCTGTTTTATGAATTAGCTATTTCCATATGTTCATTTTGCCAATTTTTCTAATGGGTTGGTGGAGACATTTAGGAAAAACAATTCTTATCATAACTGCATCACAGATTCTTGGCAACATCCTAGAATTGACTTTTTAAATAAATTATCTTAAACATTTGGGGAAAAGTGGATATTAGGGGTTAGAATGACATGAAAATAAAATATTAACGTCAAACTAACTTTTTTTGTTGTTGTAGAGCGACTTGCTGGCACATAGATAAAGGAATGGCAAAAGCACAGTATTCTTTGACTTCAGCAAAGCCTTCAGTGAAATCCGACAGGATTCCAGTTCAGATGCAGAATGGGAACACAAACGTGACTGTCTCTCCTTTCTTTCTAAGGCCCCTGAAATGAGTATTTGTAAAAGAAGTAATAATCCTGCTACAATATAGTGGAGGGAAAGCATCAACAAACGAGTGATTTCCCCAAATTTCTGTAAAATGGAAAGCATAAAGTGAAGGGTGACATTTACTCATGGGTAAAGGAAGCTGCAGTGCAGAATCCCGGCACCGATGAGGGATGACAGAATAGGGATCTGTTTGTCAAAAAGTCCAATGAGATGCTATAGTAGGAGTAAGTGAGAAGTTGCTGAAAACATTAGATTTAATTAAAGGTGTACCTGTGAGAAATCTTTGACACCCCCTTCCTTCAATGGCAGGCAGTCAAGAGCTTGGCACAAGAGGGAAAAACATCAGAAGGGTCATCACTAAAAAAACCTGAACAACTTAGGTGTAGAAAACCAGGGTACCTATTAATAGTATGGGGGACAGAGCCCCAGAGTAAATCCTCCACCTTCCGTTTTGAGTAAGGTAGTCCTCAAAGTGCCAACTCCCTATCCATGAACGTACAAAGATCCGGGACAGCTACTCAGATCCGGGACAGCTACTCCGTCCCTTATTCTTTTTGTTCTAGTACCTCGTTCTTAAATATGAAATAACAACCAAGGATTGCTAGATCTTAGAAGAAAATCTGAAGTCTGAAAGAAAAGACCAAGATAAACCAATAAAAAAGTAAAATCCCGGGGAACCTGACTTTGATGAACAGAAGAAGACTCAAGAGAAACAAGCAAATATGAAAACAAAACTCCAAACCTCATCAGTATCTTCCTTAGATATGTCAGAGAGAAGATAGCACCCAGAAGACAGAATCGCATCATGATGGATCCTTTTCATGGCCTGCCAGGCACTCAAGGAGCTGCCCCGTACCGTCCCCCACATGTCCCCGTCCCGTCCCCGGGACTGTGGTCTCCTTCACTCACCCGCGCCTGCCACACTCCCAGCTCCGAGAGAACCCTGGGCACTGGCTGCTGCCTCTGCCCTGGACACTCTGCCTTCAAGTCTTCCTTCTAATGCACCTGCTCAATCAATGAGACCTATATATTCAACCAAAGAAGGCAAAGCAGCAAGGAAGCAAAGAAGATAGCATCAAGATATACAAGTTCAAAAAGAGAAAAGGGAAAAGGGGAAAACAAGACATATCAGTCAGGCACTTCTGTACCAAATGCACAGGCCTTCTACACAGAAAACAAAGAGGGGAAGGGAAGACATTGTTAAAGAAAAAAGGGAGGTAAAAGGGCAGAGGTTACGAATTTCTTATTCTAAAAAGTGAGGAGTTAAAGAGATTTAGGTTGAGGTATTATTATTTAACGAGACAAATGCAAGCCTGTAGGAGCTAGAAAGAGTGTTCCGCCTATTTAAAATGGGGAGTAGGAAGAAATGAGGAAGGGAGTTAGTATAAGTGAGTTGATTCTTTTCCATCAAAACAGGAGGTTGAGAGATAAAGCTTAATAAAGCAAGAGAGTGCAGGATACACATTTTCTTTTCTTTTTTTTTTTAACAGATAATGAAGTAACTACAATTAAATTCAGGCACAGTTAAGTGGCAGCTACTTAGGAGGCAGCTGGGAGATGGGAGAGGTGGGGGTGAGTTCATAACCAAGTTTTAATGCACAGTATTATTTTGGTAAACATCTAAAATTTTAAATAATCTTTATTAATGTCCTTGTAGAAAAGATGGAAAATACAGAGTAGATAATAAAAATGGGCAGATTTACTATCTTCAAATGTTTGAGCTCTTACTATGTTTAAAAGCTAACACCAGATTCTATGTTCTCAAGGGACTTAGCCTTTATTGTGAATTTTAGTTTAGCACATAAAGAAAGAACAAAACAGGTCGCTAGGGTTATCTGCCACCAAGATAGTGTCTAAGGAATCCAGAAATCTCTTCTAATTGTAAAGAGGAGACTCGGGGAGCTGCATGGAAGCAGCAGCATCACATCGTGTGCAGGTGGGTGATCTGTCTCATTAGCAGAAACAAAGTGTGGCTGTCAGAAGTATATTTCAGTATAAGAAACCAGAAATGTAAATTATATTTCTATTTGTTGTATAAAACAGTAAAGAGAAAACGGCTCCTCAGATTGGAAAAATCAAAGCCTTCCCTTACTGCATCTCTGCCGTTGGTGCCGCCTCTCCGCCCAGGGCACGCTGCAACTACGCAGCGTTTATTGTGGAAGGATCGAGATTTGAGCCGGGGCCATATAATTGGGTTAGGTAGCAATATGAGAAATGCAAGGAAAAATATGCAGGCAGAAGCAAAAATATGCAGGTGAGGGAAACTCACACTCCTACAAGAACACTGAGCAGTTTGGTTGTTGTTTTTTTTAAGAGTACAGGCAGCAGAAACTAGGTTGTTGTGAATTTTGATTCCTAATCAAAGAGGGCTTTGCTTTTAGACTTCATTTGATTGGCAGTAGGGATTAACTGAGGATTTTTAAACAGAAGGAATGAAATGACGAGATACCGAGTGCCTGGGATTTTCCACGTGTGCATCATGGGGCCTGAGGAGACGCGTGCTTCTGGAGGAGTCTGCCCAGGCAGGGCACAGGAATGGGGGAGAAAATGGAAAGGCAGGTAGCAGGTGCATCTCAAGGCAAGAGGTGGAGACTGCCCTGGATAACCCAGAGCGACACTGCGGTGGGCGGCGAGCGCAGGCAATGCAGAGGAATGTCCAGCAACTCCAAGGTTGTCGGGGGACGGAGCGGAAATGCAGTTTGCTGGGAAGGATTTTGCAAATCTAGGTTTAGATATACTGTGTTTCCCTGAAAATAAGACAAGGTCTTATATTTATTTTTCCTCAAGAAGATACCCTAAGCCGGGCGCAGTGGCTCATGCCTATAATCCTAGCACTCTGGGAGGCCGAGGTAGGAGTGAGTAGCGGTGGATCGAGCCTAGCTCACAGCAACCTCAAACTCCTGGGGATCAAGTGATCCTCCTGCCTCAGGCCCCCAAGTAGCTGGGACTTACAGGCATGTGCCACCATGCCCGGCTAATTTCTATATAATTAGGTGGCCAATGATTTCTTTCCATTTATAGTAGGACGGGCGTCTCACTCTTGCTGCAGGCTGGTTCGAACTCCTGACCTTCGAGCAATCCACCCGCCTAGGCCTCCCAGAGTGCTAGGATGACACTATAGAGTGGCCACCACGCGCCGCCCCCTGATCATCATTTTTAAAACCACAGTCTTGACAACCAAGGTGAGAGTGACTTGAAGGAGAATGTGTCTCACCAGAGCGACCTCCGTCGCATCAATCCCTGGGAAATGGGCCTGTCGTGGCCAAGGCCAGGTCCGTGCAGTAGAAGCGTTGCTGAAACTCCACACTGAAACCTAGCTGGCGCCTGGACCGCCAGGACGGGCCTCACAGCGCTGCTCTGGCCTGAGCCTGGCTCAGTGGCTCCAGTGCTGGCTGGAAGAGCGGGCTACAGAGACGGAGGAGGGCCCTGGGGACTGGCTGGGCAGCAGCCATGGTACAAGTGACAGAAGTATCAGCAGCGACCAAAAAAGGAAGCAGAATGGGGCAGAAGGCAGAGTGGTGCTGCGGACCAGACACGCGAGACCTTAGCTTCTCCAGTTTCATAAACTTAGACTATATCTCAAATCAAGATTTTGTAAGTTCAAAAAGTATAGCCTTCCATTTACAATTCTGACTGGGTACATATGTTTTGGGTACTTTAAAATTTGATTTCACTGTAATATATCTAATTAATATTGTACAATTTTAAATTAACTTTTGAATAGGTACATAACATGAGTAACAAATTTAAAAGTTACAAATGGAGAAACAAACTTCCTTCTACCCCTGTCTGCGTGGGTGGCCCAGTTTACTCCACCAGGGGGCCCTCTGTTCCCACCGACTTGCGTCCTTCCAGGAGCAGTCTTGCACATAGGGTGTGTAGACTTTTAACAGCACAAATGGACAGAAGAACATGACGTATGTCTACACTTTTCTCTTCTTTCTTTCTTTTTTTTTTGTTTTTTACTAATTGTATCTTGGTGCCCTTCGCTATCAGCACACACACAGATCTTCCTCATTCTTTCAGTGGCTCCTAGCCTCCAAGTGTAATGGATGAACTGATGATTTAACCAGTTCCTTATGAAGGGCATGGAGGTGGATTCCAGTCTTCACAAATACAAACAACATTGCATCGAATGTCTTTATATGTTTATTATGTGTTAAATATACCCATCGGATAATTCCTTTAACTGGAACTCCTGTGTCAAAAAGTATATGATTTTTAACAATTTACAGTTATCGCCAAATTGCCTCAGTAGAAGATTGTGTGATCCACACCCACAATATATAGCAGGTATTTATACCATTCTCACTATCTAAGGTGTTAACCTTTAAAAAAAATGTATTTCAAAGTTACCTAGCAGAATATCTGGAACATGAAATAATGATAATAATTTTATAATGACTAGTGTTAACTTTCTGATCTTTGCAAAGTGAGAGGTTAAAAAAAATCTCAGCCTGGGCAATATAGTGAGACCCCCATCTCTACAAAAAATACAAAGTTAGCTGGGCGCAATGGTGTGTGCCTGTAGTCGCATCCATCGGGAGGCTGAGGCGGGAGGATCACTGGGAGCCAGGAGTTCAAGGCTGTGGTGAGTTATGGCATGAGTCACCACTGTACTCCAGCTGTGTGACAGAGCGAGACTCATCTCAAAAAAAAAAAAAAAAATCCCATTATAGGTTTTAAATCTTTTTTTTGAGACAGGGGTCTCTCTCTGTCACCCAGGCTGGAATGTCATAGCGTGCATCATAGCTCACTGTGGCTCAAACTCCTGAGCTCAAGTTTCCTCCTGCCTCAGCCTCCTGAATAGCTAGGATTATAGGCACTTGCCATGGCGCCTGGCTAGTATTTTTGTATAGATAGGGTCTCACTATGTTGCCCAGCTGGTCTTGAATTCCCAGCTCAAGTGATCTTCCTCCCTCAGCCTCTCAAAGTGCTGAGATTACAGGCATGAGTCACTGAGCTTGGCCTCATTACTATTTTAATTTGTACTCTCTTCTTATGGAGTAAGTGAGTTGATTTTCACATATTTAAGAGCTTTTAAAAAATTTCCTGTTTTTATAGCCAAAGGGCAAATGTTAAAAGAAAAAAAAATTTCCTGTTTTATGAATTAGCTATTTCCATATGTTCATTTTGCCAATTTTCTAATGGGTTGGTGGAGACATTTAGGAAAAACAATTCTTATCATAACTTCACACAGATTCTTGGCAACATCCTAGAATTGACTTTTTAAATAAATTATCTTAAACATTTGGGGAAAAGTGGATATTAGGGGTTAGAATGACATGAAAATAAAATATTAACGTCAAACTAACTTTTTTTGTTGTTGTAGAGCGACTTGCTGGCACATAGATAAAGGAATGGCAAAAGCACAGTATTCTTTGACTTCAGCAAAGCTTCAGTGAAATCCGACAGGATTCCAGTTCAGATGCAGAATGGGAACACAAACGTGACTGTCTCTCCTTTCTTTCTAAGGCCCCTGAAATGAGTATTTGTAAAAGAAGTAATAATCCTGCTACAATATAGTGGAGGAAAGCATCAACAAACGAGTGATTTCCCCAATTTCTGTAAAATGGAAAGCATAAAGTGAAGGGTGACATTTACTCATGGGTAAAGGAAGCTGCAGTGCAGAATCCCGGCACCGATGAGGGATGACAGAATAGGGATCTGTTTGTCAAAAGTCCAATGAGATGCTATAGTAGGAGTAAGTGAGAAGTTGCTGAAACATTAGATTTAATTAAAGGTGTACCTGTGAGAAATCTTTGACACCCCCTTCCTTCAATGGCAGGCAGTCAAGAGCTTGGCACAAGAGGGAAAAACATCAGAAGGGACATAAAGAATCCAATCCTCCTCTTTCAACAAATATTTGTTGAAATGCTGCCTGCCCTCAGGGCGCTCACAGTTGTGTGGGTGAGAAAGATAAGCGAGCCTGCAGTTTCAGCATTCATAGAAGCAGCAGAGGCTGGAAACAAAGGATCCACCTCCACCTGGCCTTGGCAGGTTGTGTCTTCTCCCAGCTCCCACCCAATTTAAGCATCAGTTATGAGCCCTAAAAATGTTTCACTAGTGGCAATTTCAGAGCAGTGAGACAGTCATGCTTGTTTGTACCAACTAAGCCCGGCTTCAGAACTATTAGGGTTAGCATTGTTACTACCTGCTAGGAAAAGCTGGTTTTGATAAAACACTGCCACACAGTTACACAATCTATAAATAAAGAAACAGGTTGGACAGTCCCTATCAACAGTCCAGTGTTTGTCACTTCTCCCATACCTCATTAGTCTGATGATTTAAATTGGAAAATTTCACAATTTTCAGAATTAGAATTCTTTCATGGAGTCAACTATCATTCTTCCTGGAGACAGTCTCTGAGTTTTAGGCAAACTCAACACTCCTTTCTCTTGTCACGCCATTCCCCAGGCCCGCTCCCCTCAGTGCAGGTAAATAAGCAGCTACAGGGCAAAGCTACGAATAAGCTGCCTCTCAGGTGAACGAAAACAAGTGCCTCGCTGTGGCTCAGTCCATGAGGGCGTGCTCCTTTCTAATTACAGTGACGATTCCCTGCGGTTGCCTCCACCTTCACGCTGAACCAGTCTAAGCTAAGGCATAAAATATGTCACGAGACTCTCTTATGGTAGGAGAGGTGGGGACAGTTTTATAAACATCCCTGATCATTTTTTTTTTTTTTTTTGAGACAGAGTCTTGCTTTGTTGCCCAGGCTAGAGTGAGTGCATATAATTGGGTTAGGTAGCAATATGAGAAATGCAAGGAGAAGGCAGAAGCAAAAATATGCAGGTGAGGGAAACTCACACTCCTACAAGAACACTGAGCAGTTTGGTTGTTGTTTTTTTTAGAGTACAGGCAGCAGAAACTAGGTTGTTGTGAATTTTGATTCCTAATCAAAGAGGGCTTTGCCTTTAGACTTCATTTGATTGGCAGTAGGGATTAACTGAGGATTTTAAACAGAAGGAATGAAATGACGAGATACGAGTGCCTGGGATTTTCCACGTGTGCATCATGGGGCCTGAGGAGACGCGTGCTTCTGGAGGAGTCTGCCCAGGCAGGGCACAGGAAGGGGGAGAAAATGGAAAGGCAGGTAGCAGGTGCATCTCAAGGCAAGAGGTGGAGACTGCCCTGGATAACCCAGAGCGACACTGCTGGGCGGCGAGCGCAGGCAATGCAGAGGAACGTCCAGCAACTCCAAGGTTGTCGGGGGACGGAGTGGAAATGCAGTTTGCTGGGAGATTTTGCAAATCTAGGTTTAGATATACTGTGTTTCCCTGAAAATAAGACAAGGCTTTATATTTATTTTTCCTCAAGAAGATACCCTAAGCCGGGCGCAGTGGCTCATGCCTATAATCCTAGCACTCTGGGAGGCCGAGGCGGGCAGATTGCCCAAGGTCAGGAGTTCAAACCAGCCTGAGCAAGAGCGAGACCCCCGTCTCTCCTATAAATAGAAATTAATTGGCCAACTAAATATATATAGAAAAAATTAGCTGGGCATGGTGGCGCATGCCTGTAGTCCCAGCTACTTGGAGGCTGAGGCAGGAGCCCAGGAATTGGGAGTTTCTGTGAGCTAGGCTGACGCCATGGCACTCACTCTAGCCTGGGCAACAAAGTGAGACTCTGTCTCAAAAAAAAAAAAAAAAAAAAAAAAAGGGAGGG